ATCCAAAATGGATCAAAGCAATAAAAAAATTGAAACTTTGGAAGCTATTATAGCTCAAAATAAAGCCGAAATTGACATGATGAAAGACCAATTAGAGGACAGCCAAGGTCAATATATTACGTTAGAAAAGAAATATTATAAAGCAAAGAAACTAATAAAAGAATTTCAACACAGGTTAGTTTGGGTTGCTGGCATCTCTCAATCTTTTACCCAACCACACATGATTACTGCAGATAACCATGGTAACAAACAACTGCTGAATTGTTGTGTAAAACCTATAGTATTGTGCTGTGATTGTTGCTAACACGTTCTCCTTTCACATCATTTTCTCAACACTCACACACATGTTTATACAAGATTTAGCGTAGTTGTGCCATGGGAGGCACCAACGCTGACATCCTGGCAGACTAGCGTCTCACTATCCAGGTACAACAAATAGATTTTCACTGTAAGACTATCAAACAGTTTTTATTCCTGCCAAAGCATATTTTCCTGTTTTCACTTTCTGAACTCTGACTTCTCAATATCAAATTATATGTAAAAAGTATCATTAAAATGCTGAGTAGCAAAGTTGGAATCCTATGCGCTGCATCTTGATGCCTTCATAAACACCGATTGACAGTTTCACATTTGTTTGTATGGAAGTCTGACGCATACACAGGTGACGACTCCCCGCTTTAAAATTGTTGCTTCTGGGTCAGAATAAATGTGTGTGTGTATTTGTTTTGGCTGATGGCACATACTGTATCAGAAACTAATATTCTTAATTTGTTATCTTTTTTTTTTTTCATGTAAATTATGATATAAATTAAAGTTTTCAAAGAAAACCACCAAAATAATCTATAAAATATTTGTAGAAATTCTAACTTTGTCAGGAACTCTTGTTTGATGGTGGTGAAATTTTTAACTTGGTGCTCTGTATAGGTGTTATCATGACCCCAAAGGTCACACATCCTGGTACCATCTTATTCACTGTAAAAATTAAACCGCTCCCCTCCAAGTACAAACAGTCGTCATTTAAGTTCAGGTCAATCAGGCACAATCAAGTTGCTTTGCATTGACTCAAAATTGATGTATAATATTGGGAATCGTTGCTGTTGCTGTCCCCAGAAAGTATGAATGTGTGATCCTTCGGGGGAGGGGAGGGGTCAAGCTTATTTGACTGCTCTGAACAGCTCTCGTAATATGCATGTCCTATTTCTATTTTGACGGTGATCTAGAGAAAATAAGATGTCTTCAACGTGTTTTACTGTTCTTGATAGGTCAATGTTTGGTTTTTAAACCTGGCATACAAGTAATTGTCAACCAATCACACACGTATACATGTATTGTACACCTGGTATACAAGTAATTGTCATCCAATCACAAACATACATTGTACACCTGGTACATGTATACAAGTAGTCGTCATCCTATCACACACATACACAACATGTACATTGTACACCTGGTATAAAAGTATTTGTCAACCAATCACACGCATACATGTATATTGTACACCTGGTTTACAAGTAATTGTCAACCAATCACACACATTCATGAACATTGTACACCTGGTATACAAGTAATTATCAACCAATCACACGCATACATTGTTCACAAGTAATTGTCACCCGATTTTGTTTTAAAGTTTATACAAAGGCAAATTATAATGGATACATATTCTCATGACATTTTATGATAGTCCTGACATTTTTGGGCACAATGTGATAATTTTTGTTCAAAAATGAAGGGAGAAAATGATGTTTCCTTTGGTATTTGGGCATTTACATGGAGCATGGACATTGAACAATTGCAATGGTATATACATATACTAATGTCTACAGTTGTCAACTTGTGTATGTGATAAGGACCTTTCCTCTTCTACATGTATCTCATGTTTTACAAAATCCTATTTTACTGTGACATATATGGTATGAACTTTGACACTATTGAGGTGAGGTATGGGTTCAAAGGTTATATAAGAATAAGTTAAAGTAGGTGGAAACAAATAAGAGGCTGCAGGCTGAGCATAGTTAAGGCCATAATGGAAAAGGTCAAAGGTGAATGCTAGGTTAAAGTTCAGAATTTGCATTAGGTCAAAGGTTGGGGGTTACCGGTAAATGACAGATTTATAATTAATACATAATTTCAATGCAATAATAATTTCTGTTAACAGAGAACAAGAATTCATAAAAAGAGAAGATTATTTTATACAGCAACATTCACAAAATGAAGAAGAATTTAAGAAAAATAAAGAATTACTGGAGGCGAGAGTAAGTGCTAATTTGCATATTGAGGCTGTTCTTGAAACATTCCCTACCATTCTTTATAAAGCTGCAACTGAATGTCAGTCTTATTGCTGCTGCTAGCTGAGGTTATATCACTGCTGGTGTTTGTGTAAAAAAAATCTTACTGTCTTGCTTTAAAGCTAAAAAATTAAAATACCTCACA